AACCGGTACTCATCTGAGTGTGGCTTTTTGACCAGCAAAATGGGAGTATTGTATGGTGACCGGCAAGCTGAATTAATCCTGATTTCAAAAACTTCTGCAACACTGGCTGGATCCCCTCTAAAGCCTCCTTTTTGAGGGGATACTGTTTCTTTCGTGGGACCCGCACCCCTTCTTCTAGATTTATCTTTATGGGTTGCACGTTAACTGCTTTACCTGGAGTTCCATCAGCCCAGACAGTTTGATCAACCTGCTCACAGATCTCAGGTGGGAAAGGTTCACCTCCAGAGCCTCCAGGACAGGTCAGGGAAGCCTGCAACTGGAGGGCATTTTCCAGCGGGACTTCCACACACAGCTGCTGTCGCTTGGAGGAAAAAGTTATTTGTGCATGCAGTTTACACAGCAAATCTCGGCCCAACAATGGAATGGGACAATCAGGCATATACAGAAAACAGTGTGTAAGCTTTTGCCCCCCAAGCTGACATTCCAGAGGTTGCAGGAATGTCTGTTTTTGTACCTGGCCAGAAACACCAGTAACTGCTACTTCATTTGTACTTTTTTCAGTCAACTTTGTGTTTAACACTGAGTATGTGGCTCCTGTATCTATAAGAAAGTCAATTGGCTTATTCCCCACAGTCACTTGTATCCGGGGCTCCTGTGGGGAAATAGTGATGGGTTGGGAGATATCCAATGGAGCCCCTGTGCCTCCTCATTCCTTGTCATCCTCCATTTCTTGCTTCACCATCATTCGACTTGGATTCTTATTTTCCCTTTTGCGATGTGGGCACTCATTCCTCCAGTGCCCCTCTTCCTTGCAACAGGCACATTGATTACGGCCTAGTGCACCTTTCTTCTCCATAGGGCCCCTTTTGCCTCTGGCCTGGTGGTGGACACCCGATGAGTTTCCCTTTTCTGCCCCAGGGCCCTGTTTCTTTTGGTTTACTTGGGCTAACTCCAAAAACCTGTTTTGCCTTCCCTGCTTCCCGGGCATTGTAGACTTTAAAGGCTATGTCCACTAGCTGGGAGGAGCTCATTCCCAGTACTCCGTCTACATGCTGAAGTTTGTTCCTGATATCCGGAGCGCTCTGCCCAATAAAAGTCATGTTTACCATTCTCACATTCTCTGGTGCCTCTGGATCAACATCAGTGTATTTCCTATATGCCTGATAGATCCTTTCTAAAAATTCAGAAGGATCCTCATCTGGCTTCTGCTGGAGAGTCTGTATCATATTCAGACTCCTCTGCTTGGGCACTCCTTTCCTAAGTCCTTCCAATATACACCTTCTATAGTGTCTTAAAGAGGTTAAGCCATCTCTGCTATTCAGGTCCCACTTAGGGTCCACCCGAGGAATTGCCTCCACTGGGTTAAGAATTCCCTCGGTGTCCTCATCGCGGAGACGCTGGGCCTCCTGATCAGCCCTACTTAGAACCAACCGTCTTTCATCTGCTGTTAGCAAAATGTTCAGGAGGGCCTGTATGTCTGCCCAGTTTGGGTGGTGAGTGGCAAAAGTAGAGGCATCCTCCATTTCTCCATTCCTCCATTGAGAAGATCTGCCATCTTCTGAGGATCACTCCTATATGAGGGATTGGCATTCCTGTAGTTGAGCAAGTCGGAAGTGGAGAACAGAGTATGAACCCAATAGTAACCAGAGGGCTGGCCTTCTTCATTTATTCTGCCTATTGGGTATTGCCTCAAAGGGTATTGGCTGGCTACACCTTTGGAGGCTCCCTGGTTATAGGAGGTGCCCTGGCGAGTTCTGGGGGGTGAGACACATTCCTCAGCAGGTGGAGGTGAAGCAGTTGGCTCTGCAATCTCCACTTCAGGGCCAGTTATGGGAGGAGACAGTACTGAGGTGGCTCCCACCACCTGTACAGGGGGAGGTACCCCAGCAGTGGTAGTTCTCACCCCGTGTGAGGCTGGAGGTGTACAAACCTCCACCAGTTGTGAAGGTGGTGCCCTCTCGGAGGCCCCTCCCACCTGCGGAGTGTGGTGCCCCGCAGACACGCCCCGGACCCGCAGGGGGCTGGGCAGAGGCAAAGCACAGGCGTCTCCCACCTGCTGGGGCACCGTGACTCCAGAGCTGACCCGCACCCCCTGTGGCTGGGGTGCCCCAGAGGCAGGCAGTGCGCAGGCCCCTCCCACCTGTGAAGGTGGAGGCAGAACGCAGGATACACCCACCTGTAAAGATGGCGACGGCCCATCGGCTCTGGTTTCCAGAGCCAAGGGGTCCCCTCACACATGCGGGTGGGGATGGCTAGAGGAGCCAACTCGCGGATCTGTGGTGGAGACCTCTCCCACCTGCAAGGGCTGGGGAGTCATGGCGGCCCCCGCCTCTTGGGGAGGTCTCAGCACCACTGGAGTCCCCCCTGCCTGTGAGCCCCCATTCCCTGGGTTCAGAGCATTAATGAGGTTTATCTCCTCATTCTCTCTCTCTTTCTGTGTTCGTCCATCAGGGAGGGGTTCCGAGACCACTTTTCCCTTCTCGACCATCACACGCTTCTCTGTCTCTGGCACAAAGCTGTTGTGCAATATTATAAATGCATTAAGATAGTGTAACTCTTCCGATAGCTCATATTGCCTGCAATACTGTTTTAATCTAGCAATAATGTAGTAACTCAAAGAACCATTCACTGGCCATCTCAGCTCATCACCCAAAACATAAGTAGGCCACATCGTGTTGCAATAATAAACCATTAACTGCTTAGTCAAGGGATTCTTGTATGTTGACTTAGCACAGTAGTTCTCCCAATCCCTTAGGATCCTACCCAATGGGCTCCACTTAGGGACCCGCTCAGAACTACTCTTACAGTTCCAACAAAGCAAGCAAAAATTCAAAGCTAGAAGAATACAGACTGCGTAAAGACCGGGTATTTTCCCAGCTATCGCCCACAATTCCAGCTCCGTTATTCCAAAAAAAGCACTCAGAAACCAAGTTTTCAACCAAAACACTTTCACGTCTCTGCTCCCTCCCTGTTTCGTTTCCTTTTCACCTTTCCAGGCATGATAGGCGGCCCATGCCCTCAGGAGGAATGCAGGGGAATTCTCGAGACTGGGAAAACTCCAAAGTCTCACTCTCTCACACCTGAGGGCGTCGGTCTGCCACGGACAATTATCGTCCCGGCGGAGTCGCCAAAAACTGTTACAGAACACAACAAGGGGGGGGCCTGGGACGATATACTATTATTGAAAGAAGGCCCCGGGTCCGTTATGTCCACCGCCCTAGGAGAGATGTCTCTCAATGCCAGAGATTCGTGAAAAGGAAAGGAAATGTTTATTTAATGCTATACTAACTTAAAGTAGTGACCTAATGTCTTTATCAAAAATCCTAAAGTCCCTAAAAACACCCACAAACACACAGTCTTTCCTTCCTTCCCCCTTTGCCCAGTCCAGAGTACCGTATCTCAGGAAAGGAAATAGAAATCCATGGCTCAGGCAGTCCTCTGGTTCTTAGTTAGTCCTCCATCTCGACTGGGAGACCTCCCTGGGTTCCCGGCACCCTCCACTGAGTCGCTGGGATCTCTGCTAAAACCAGGTGGTGGTTCCCCCCTTCTAAATCTGTGGGGGTCCCCACTCTGGCACAGGCACGTGGTCCTCTCTCCCAGGGCCACGGGAGTCTCCACTCTGTCAAGGCCGCATGGTTCTCCTCCTCTGGGATGTGGGAGTCTCCACTCTGCCAAAGCCGCGTGGTTCCCCTCCTTAGGGCTGCAGGAAGGGAGAGTCCCCACTCTGCCAAAGCCGCGTGGTTCCCCCTCAATGGCTGCCATGTCTGGGTTTAAATCCCCCGAGCCAGTCTTCTTCTGCAGCCCCATTTCCGACTCCTCCTCCACTTGGGCACACTTGCCCTCAATCTGCTGTCTTCTCTAGCTTTTCTGGTCACCATCGTGGGTCTGGGCAGGTGTCACCCCATGTCATGGAGCCAATCTTCTCCCAGCTCCCACGCAGGCACTGTAACTCAGGGGACCTGCCCCCGAGTCCCATCTTGGTGGGGAGATTCCTTTCCATCCCCCTGGACTTGAGCATGGCCATAGCTATTTAGCATATCTAAGTGACCAGCCAAAGGCTATAGGTATGCTAAATGACCATGCCATGGATTAGCTGCAAAGCTGCCCTGCATGTTTTTGCTCTGTGTGCCCCTTCCTCCAACTCACACCTGTGGGGGAAGGGGTGAAGACACCTTAAAATCTCCTGGACATCTTGAGTTCTGGACCCCATTTCAAATGCCTATTTGGGGTCCCCCCTCTTGGCTGCACCCTGTAACAAAGGGACAAGCAAGACTGCAAAGGGCAAATGAAGCTGGCAGGACACCACCATGACCCGGGGTCTAGGGCCTACAGAGAGGGGAACAGAACTCTGTCCTGGCAAGGGGAGAGGAGGACACCACTATGGGAGGACTCAGAGGAGTGTAACTATATTGGGGTTTGCTTCCTGCAGCCTATGCCTTGACTACCAGCCTATGCCCTGCATCATTTCCCCTGCATCCAAGGGTACTCCTTTGAGAGGGCCTGGAGCTAGAAAAGGGCACCTCAGGTCCCCTCTCCCTATTCCTCTGTTCAAACCACATCAATGTGTGGATCAAACACACTTGTTTTTAAACCTTCAGTTGCCTGAAAGATGAGCCTGACTGAGTTGGTCCTGAGGACTGCATGCATACACGCTGGGGCCCCTAAGCGCTTGCTCTCAGATCCTGCATGCTGCCGCATTTCTGCATATGGCAGCAATTTCTGCAGAAAGAGTTTAGCAGGTGCATCTGGGCCAGGCACTAGCCTGCTGTTGTGTCTGTGGTTGCCTCTTCACACCCAGGCTGCCCAACCTCTTGTTCTCACCTCAACCACTGTAACTTCCTCTCCTTGTGGAACCAGGGCACAGGGCCAGGGGCTTCTGCCACCCTGACTACTATGCATCTCCCTGGTAGGCTAAGGGTTCCACTGCCACAGCCAGTATCAGCCAAATCCAGATGCTCCCTGGTGACCCTCTCAAGTTACATACTCTTTCTCCTGCACAGGCCCATCATCAATGGGATTATCAATGTTTGTAAATCACCTGGAGGGACTTTTGAAATAGGGCTGGATTCCAGGAGACCCCACTGTGAGGACTGAGGTGAATTGGAAGCTATTTCTGTGTGAAGAAGTTCTCTACTGCAGAAGGTAGTTGGCATAAAGTAATATGGGTTCCTTATTTGCTAGATCTTCCATTTTTCAAAGTAAGGTAGAAATACATATTTTAATCTGTAATATCCCAATTTTTAAGTGTTGCAATGTCCCCAATTCTGACTGTAAATCTCAAAGTGATTCCTGTGTGCATGTGCGGAGTGGTGAGGAGGAGACTTGACCCCACTACTGGGCCTTCCCTTCTCCCTGAAGTGTTCAGGGCTCCACCCTTGAATGAAGCTTCAGCCTGGGTGGGATGTGGGCTCTCTATTTGGTGCCCCTCTTTATTGAGATCCTCTGTACATATTGATATCCTTAATATGGAGAAATCTCTTACAAATCCAAAATTTAAAAAGCACTGGCACACTTGGAAGACATCTATAGAGTAACTATGGATGATTGATAAACATAATGTTTGTTTATTTTGCTCTGGATCTGGATCAGGCCTCAACCCATAAGGATTTAGCCTGGCTGTCCCTGGGTGTCAGTTCCTTGACCTCAGATGTCCTCCCCCAAGTCTCAGCACTCAGGTTGTCTCGAGTGAGACAGATTTTTTATTTTTTTATTTTTAGAGGAGGGAAATGGAGAGAGAAAGAGAGGGAAACAGCAATGTGTGAGAGAAACATTGGCTGCCTCTCATATGCACCCCTACCAAGGACCAAACCCACAACCCAGGCATATGTCCTGACCCGGAATTGAACCAGTGACCTTTCACTTTGTGGGATGCCACCCAACCAACTGAGCCACACTAGTCAGGGCTGCCCAGATTTTCTTAACATGTGTATGAGTAATTCAGCTCTGGGCCCCAAATTACGTCCTCACTCAGCAAAAGTTCAGCAACTTGCTAGACCTACCATCCTTGGAGGACAGCTGGTGGTGGTATGGTTCTCATTGCCTTACCCCAAAGTATTTCTTTGAGGAAGAAGTACTAGTTTCCTTCTCAGTGTACATTCTCAGGGTAGCAATGTGGCCATCATTAGAAAAAAAAGGTTGATTTCCCAGGCTCCCTTGCAATTAGAGGTGGCCAGGAAACCACTTTTGACAAGTGAAATGTAAATGGAAGTCCCTGGAATGGGCTCCTGGGAAAGTTTCTTAAAAGGGAAAAGACTTAGCTGGCTTTGCACTTTGTCCTTTGCCCTTTGCCCTCCCCAGTCCTGCCTGCACTGAGCATAGGTGAAGTGCTTGGAACTGCAGAGGACACTTTGCAACCACATGGCAATGAACCTGAGGCTAAAAACCACAAGCTTAAGAGGGCAGAGCAGAAATGGGAACCCTAGTGCACTATTGGTGGGAATGTAGAAACATTGAAATAAAGAACAAACTGACAGTAACTAGAGGAGATGGGGAGGAGATAAGGGGTGGGGGGACCCGAAAGGGAAGGGTCATCAAGGAACATGTATAAAGGACACATGGACAAAGCCAAAGGGGGGGTAGGATAGAGGGTGGGAGGTGGGGACACACAGGGCAGGGGGGAGTGGTGGGGGAAAACTGGAGACAACTGTACTTGAACAACAATAAAGAAATAAATAGAGGGCAGAGCAGAAAGTTGGAGAGAGACTGTGTCCTCCGTGGCACCTTAGAGTCACAACAGCCCTGGGCTCTCATTATTTGCAAAAAAACAAACCCCTAAGGCACTGGTTTTCAGATTTCTGTCACTTTTGACTGAAAGGCTCTAACAGGTCCTTCTTCTGAGGCCTTCTAGTCTGTACATTTTCCTTCATTCCCATTACATGTCCAGCAATGTTCTAATGTCCCAGTAACAGGGGTACTCCTGCCTGCCTGACCTGACCTCAGTCCACCTCTAGGTATAAAGGGAAGACCTAACATCTATCTATCTATCTATCTATCTATCATCTAAATTTGTTGCCATATGTAGCCATTTGTTGCCATTTGTAGCCACTTATCAGGTAGTGCTAGGCAGATGCTCTGACCACCCTTCTCACAGCCTTGCCATTGGAAATCAACTCCAGATCTTAGACTTCTTGTAAGTGGTGGTGTAAACAGTTCCTGGAATCTCCTCTGGAAGTGAGTCCAGCATGGTGCATGACTGCTGAATGGAAAGTCACACTTCTAGCTTCTGGGGTGCTGGTGACACTCTATTTCATGATCTGATTGCAAGGTGTCTGCTTTACAATGATCTCTTAAACTGCTATACAACTTCCCTGTATTGTGCTATAGTTCATAATAAAACCTATTTGAAATCTAAGAAAGATCCCATCAGCCTGCGTGGTTTGGCTCATTTGGACAGGAAGGGTTTAGGGACTGTGATGACTGTAGGCAGGACTGTGGCAGCAGCCTGAAGATCCACCACGTGATAGATGCAGGTCCTCAGGGCAGGTGGGCTCTGACAGACCCATGGAACTCTAACACAAAGCTGTGTGTCATTCTTTCTCTTAGAATAGCTGCACACCTGCACATAAGCAGTTTCTGTTGTGGTTCAGTGAAATGGCAGCGAGGTACAAGCTCATCTTTAACATGACAGCCCTTCATTGCTGTGAAACTCCTGCTGCACTACCCACTCACTTTCCTCAATCAGTGCTGCATGCAAGTGTAGGAACCCAGGGCCTCAGGGGCTTCTGTGTCCAACCAAAAGGCCATGGACCTATGACCCTCACCCCACCCACTTGGACCCACTGCTGAGGCCAAGGCTGCCCCTGAGTGGGGTTTCAGACACTAATGCTAGGTCTGCCACACTTGGTCTCTATGAGTGCAAGCAAGTCATGCAATCTCTTTGGGCCTCAGCTTCCTCATTCAAGAAATGGGACTGATAATATCTTTTTTAGAGAGTTACAAGACTTAGATAATATATTTTAGGTACACAGATAGTTAGCCAAGGGTAGCAGCTGTTTTGCTAATGGGCAGAGATGCCCCAGGTAACTCCATTCTAGCAGTGAAGGGTCCAACAGAAGACTATTCATTCCACCCCACTGTGCAGACCTCAGATTGTGACAGGATAGCAAGAAGCTAGGAAAAGTCGTGGGCAAATGGAATAGGGAACCGGAGACAAGAAAATTAAACAAGGCCTTACAATTTGAATGACCTACAGCCAGCAAGTGTGAATCACAAGACCTCATCATCTCAACCAAGAACACTTGAGAACAAATGGTTCACACCTCTCCTCCCTAACCAGAGATACATAGCATAAATCACCCTGGTCAGGGGCATAGGTAACAAAGACCCAATTAATGTCGTTTTGCCAGCCAAACCCAAGGACAGATGAAGTCAGGGGAACAAATAACAAAAGCTCCATTAAAGCCAGATAGACCCGAGATGGAAATAAAACAGTAAAGCAGACCAAAGTATAATCTCAAACTCCCTTAAATGCTCATTTTTATGTATTAGCATATTAAAAACACACCTGGAAAGCTGATATTCTGAAGAAATCCTCCCCTAAGATTCTTACCCTTAGAAGAGAGAGGAAACTGTCAAAACAAAGGACATCAGTGCAAGTTCATTCTAGAGCACACCCATGCCCCTTCTCAAGCATGAACATATTACTTCCTCCTAAATTTTAAGTGTCCCCATAAGACTTGCAGCCAGGAGGGCAATAGACCATGGTAGTTTGTCCTGGGCTTATCCTTGGTCTTGTCTGCAAAGTCCCCCTTTTTTTCTCCGACTTTCCAGTGAACTAACAACAGCCACACCTTGGCTTACTCCTTTCCTATAATGTTTCTAGGTAGTCAAAGCAGAGCACTGTCTAGGCTCTGTCTTGTTGCTTCTTCTACCATAAATTCTTCCTTTGTTTCACTGTCTCCAGTTTTTTTTTTTTTTTTTTAGGATAGGTTTTATTGATTTTGAGAGAGACAAAGAGTGAGCAAGAGAGAGAGAGAGAGAAACATCAGTGTGAGAGAGAAACATCCATTGGTTGCCTCCCATATGCACTTCAGTGGGAATTGAAATCACAACCTAGGTGTGTGCCCTGACTGGGAATTGAATCTACATTTTGGTGTATGGGACGATGCTCCAACTAACCAAGCCAACTGGCCAGGGCTCACTGCCCCTGGCTTTAATACATATACCCTCAAAATCACCCGGACTCACCCTGCTGGTCCAGTTGGTTAGAATGTTGTCCATACACCAAAATTTGTGGGTTCAATTCCCAGTTATGGCACAAACCCTGGTTGCAAGTTTGATCCCCAGTTGGGGGGCATACAGGAAGCAACCTATCTATGATGTTTCTCTCTTTCTCCTTTCCTTTCTCTAAAATCAATAAACATATCCTCAGGTGAAGATTTTTTTTTAAAAAAATCACCTGGGCTCTTGTGCTTTTAAATCTTTCCTACACTAGATTAAGAACCCACATACTACAGGCTGGCTCCAGGCCAGTTCTTGTCCAATAACAATATCACATAGCTGACAAACTTTCCCAAGGGATTGACAGAAGGTATATTTAAGGGACCATCAGGCATAGAGAGGACGTCCTTGTCAGTCAATCACTACAGGGCTGCTTCTTCAGGACTGCTCATGCTCTGAACCTTGTATAACACAAATCTGTGGCCTTGAATAACTGAAGGTCAGACAAGCAAAGATCAGCCTGAAGGCAACAGAATAAGACTGTCCTGTGGTGTCTTGCCACATTCTGGTTTGAGTCCAGAAGAGCCTCTTGCTTGGCTCAGCCAATTTCATGAGTATGAAGATGGGAAAGAGGGACCCACTCAAAAAAGCACATCCAAAGGACTTCAGTCAGTACAGGAGAATGAAGACTCTTGTCAGAAACATGGGGACTTCATCATAGCAAACATGTCTCAGAGGGTAGAAAGAGGGCTTTCTCATGAGGGTAGAAAGAGGGCTTCTCATTATTTCTCACAGGGAAGGACAGGCCTTTGTCAGGTGATGCTAAGCATGAACATCAATCACATTTCTCACAGCCTTTCCAGTGTGGAAATCAATTCCAAACCTCAGACTGGCTTAGGCAAATGCTCCCTGCAAGTGCTCACATAGTCAGGCCAACATGGTCTGAGACCACCCAGGGAAAGTAATGCTCCACGTCTTCCCATAGAGGGCAGCCTGTAACACCCACAGCTTCTGTAGGTGGCTAGAATGCCTTTGATGGCAGCTTCTCTGCCCTTCCACTCTTGCGGATTCTTGCAGGAAAGATTGGTTTGGTCAGCCTGAAGAGGGTGGGCCTGGAAGTATCTTCTGATGTGGCAACTTCCAGGTTCTGCTCCAGACTTGGCAAATAAGTGAAGGCTGCTCAGACCACATGAAGGTGGAGGAGCTTATTCTTAGGATGGAGACTCATTGGTATGTATAAGACAGACAGGCCTACAGCACAGCACAACTCTTATTTAACAAGCATACAAAATATCTTGTTCCTTCAGATTATGAAAAACTGAAAGCATATTGAAAAGCTTAGAGTATAAATGTAAGGAACATAAGTATGCCTACCACTTAGATTTGTCCCACTTTCTTCAGATTTTGTTTTTAGAACTGAAACATAACATATCCAACTGACATATCCTGTCCACCCTTTTCTGCTTTCACTCTTGCCCCGCAGGTGAAATTTCCCTCCTAAATTCACAGTTAACCATTCCCATGCATGTCTTTATACTTTTACCATACATACTTATAAATTATGTATAGCATTGCTTTGCATGTTCTTTTTTTATTGTCATGAACATACATAACATCAAATGTACCATTTTCACCATTTTTAAGTGTATGATTCAATGGTATTAAATACATTCATGTTGTTGTGCAACCATCACCATTATCCATTTCCAGAACGTTTTCATCTTCCAAAGCTGAAACTCTGTGACCATTAAGCAATGACCCTTTTATTCCCCTCTCCACAGCCCCTGGCAAACACCATTCTACTTTATTTTTATTTTTTTATTTTTTAGTTAAAGATTTTATTTATTTATTTTTAGAGAGGGAAGGGAGGGAGATAGAGAGAGAGAGAAACATCAATGTGCGGTTGCTGGGGGTCATGGCCTGCAACCCAGGCATGGACCCTGACTGGGAATCGAACCTGTAACACTTTGGTTCACAGCCCGCGCACAATCCACTGAGCTATGCCAGCCAGGGACCATTCTACTTTCTATGAATCTATGGTTCTTTCTATAAGTGGAATTATATAATAATTGTCCTTTTGAGTCTAGTTTATTTCACTAAGCATAGTCTCTTCAAGATTTATCTATGTTGTACCATGAGTATTTCCTTTTAAAGGCTGAATAATATTCTCTTGTATATATATATACAGATGCCACATTTTGTTTACCCATTTATCTGTTGAGGGACATGGGTTGTTTCCACATTTTGGCTATTACAAATATGCTGCTATGAATATGAGTGTACAAATGTCTGTTCAAT